TCCCTGCAGCTGTTCAAGGCCAGGCTGGATGGGGCCCTGGGCAGCCTGAGCTGGTATTAAATGTGGAGGTGATGGCCCTGCCTGTGGTGGGAAGGTGACAGAGATGATCCTTGAGATCCATTTCAACCTGGGCCATTCCGTGTGATTCTGTGATTCTGTCCTGGTTTTATCAGTGCTCCATGCCATCCTGCAGACTGTTGTGCAGAGCGCAGTGCTGTGGAGCTGTGCTTCCAAGCCCTGTGCTCTCCAGCACTCGCGTGTGAGATCCGCCTCTCCCAGGAATCTCCTGTTCCCAGGAACTTCCACTGCTCCCTTGTTCTGTGTGCACATATGTGTGCAGAACCACACACCGACGTGCAAAGACTTCCCCGTGCACATACCTGTGCATTCACACACCTGCAAGCACATCCTTACACAGCCCTGTGTGCACGCTCCATCCATGTGCGTGCAAATCTGAGCAAAACCGCACAGCCATGTGCAAAGACCTGGATGCACACACCCGCGTTCATGCACACACATGTGCAAACCCACCCCTTTGCACACCCACATGCATGAAGACACGAGCGCAGCTCCAGCCTTGCACACAGCCACGTGCTGTGCACACTCTGATGTTCAACACCATCTCTGCACACCCCGTATGCACACATACCTGCACTCACAGCTCTATGACCAAATGCCGATTGCATGGTACAGCCAACATGCAGACGGTGGGAAATGTCAGGAGGAAAGATGTCCTGTTATGCTAATTCAATCTCCTCTCTCTTTAATGAAGGCAATGGGGCACAGCTGTAGCTTCATCTTGAGATGTGGGTTGCTACAGGATTCCTCATTTGGATGCTGCGGGGTTAACCAGGAGCCACAGTCTGAGGGACACACCTCATGTGCTCTGGAGATGGAAGTTATGCCAGGAGCAAAGAAAAGACTTTCACAGACAGCACAGGGGAGGAGTTCCTGGGCCAGGCAGTGACATGCAGAGCAGTGTCCACTGACCTGGGATCTGTGTGTGTCCCCTTCCGCAGCAATGCAGAAGGGCTCAGGGTGCCTCACTGTGGCACAGGTCACTGGGGACGCTGGTTCAGCAGCACCAGGTGGGCTATTGGGGTCCTGGACTTGTGACGGGGGTCCTGCCAGGGACTGTGGGGGTCTGCGAGATCCAAGGGATGACCCAAGGGGGTTAGGGAGGTCCAAAGGAGGAAATAAGGGGGATCTAGGGGAGCCCAGAGAGGGATAAGGGGTGCTGCTGGGGACTATGGGGCTTTGTGAGGTCCCAGGCTGGCTGTGGGGGAGGTGTACCAGGTCTGAGGAGCTCCTGGAGGAGTTATGGGGCTCTGTAGCGGGGTGTGGGGGATATATGGCCATGGGATGGATATGACAACAGAGCCTGCAGGAGCAGGGGGAGAGGATGGGCCTGGAATTGGTGACAGGGGTGCTGTCAGGGAGTGTGGGTTTCTGTGAGGTCGGTAAGGAGCACTGGATGTGTTAAGGGAGGTCTAAGGGAGGAAATAAGGGGGTTCAGTGGTAGTCCAGGAGGGGATATGGGGTGCTGCTGGGGACTATGGAGGTTTGTGAGGTTTTTGGCCAGCAATGGGGGAGGAATACTGTTACCTCCAGCAACCACCGTGACCGGGGCTGCACCGTCGGGAGGGGGGTCTAGCGATCTGCATTCGCTAGGGCCATAGCAACACTAACACCAACATGATGGAGAAGCAAATGGCATTTATTAAGGCACTACAACCCCCTAAATACACATCCCCCTTCGTCTATGCCCCCCAAGCGTGCGTCATACATCAATCACAGAGCAGGGGAAGTCCTATCGCGTTACAACCCGATACCCCGTTAACGCCTACTACATCTCCCCCTCCCTGTGCTCGGTAAAGTCTTGCCCCGTTACATCGCGATCGCAACCCGCAGCCCCTCACAAACTCTCGCACAGTCTGTGATATTCCATTCACTGATCAAAAATCTTCTCCATCATTTGTTGCAGACAATTTTGTAAACATCCCATAAGGCATAGGAGGCAGATAAAGGCACATACAAAAATTATAAACCCTACCTCAAGAACCTTAAGTAATTGTTTTAGCCATGAGCCCATCTCCCCAAACAACCCATCCAGCCAATTTCCAATGGTATCACTCTCCTTTTTAATCTTCTGTGTATGTTCTTGCATCCATTGTAGCTGTTTATGTATTGACACGTTATGATCGCTGAGGTTAAAGCAGCAAATTCCTTCAACGTCCTCACATCCATGTCCCTGAGCCAATAGCAAGAAGTCAATAGCCGCTCTATTTTGTAACAACGCATGGTGAACACTATTAAGATCTTCAAGCATTGCATTTAGCACCAGTGTTGTCATACTGGCTTGTTTTGCAGACCAACATGCCAGTCTTTCTATTTGGGTTAAAGCTGCTGCTGCTGAAACACCAGGCGCGAAGAATGAAGCAAAGATGCGTGCTGTGACACTCCACAACTTAACTTCATTATTACATTCAGGTTCCAGACTTATATCGCGGCGATGCCTATTAGGATGTAGGCTATGAGCCAGCCAGTATGATTTGGAGTGAGCATCGTTAGCTTCCCTAAGTAACACGGACCACCAAGAGGGTTCTTCGGGATACCCTGCCAGGCTCTATCTCCACAAATTAGGAATATTCCCGGAAGCAGCGCCTTAGCAGTCCAATTATACCACAATTTCTCTCTGCTATCTGCTCTGAAGGTAAACCCATATGCGTAGTGGTTCCACTGCGCTGTGCAATTATCACCACAGCCTGAACAAGTGGTTCCATTAGGGTATCCTTTCGACCATTCCCCCTCCTTTGA